GTTCGATCTGGTCACCTTCACAAATACGATGTGATTCCCTTGATCAAGTCCACTGTTATGAAGTCACTGGAATATCCAATGACGCTATTGACACTGGAGGCCGCAACATGGGTGGATATTATGAGCCTGGTTCTACAGGTCTGCTTGCCAAAAGCCGGCATCTGCAGAAGTTTTCCGCGTGATATGGTGTTGGCTCCATTGACGTTCCAAGGCCTGGGCATCCCACATCCGTTCGGCTCACAGGTTTCCAAGCATATCAAGACTCTCCTCCGTCATTTGAACAACAAGACAAAACCAGTGCTTACCTGGAAGCCGCTTTGCAAGAACACCAGCTCGAAACAGGCACTTCGTTCGGGATCTTTCAGCAGGATTTTGGCAACACGGCCGTCTTGGCTTCCGATACATGGATAAAGCGTGTCTGGAAAGAACTGGAGACCATGCACATCTATGTGGCCTTTGATTCTCCGGCCTTACCACTACAATGCGTTCGTGACGCTCTGCCGGTGGAAGTGTTTATGGATTTGGAGGTGGACCAAGACGATCTGAAATGGCTCAATTGGTGTCGTATGTTCCTTCAAGTGTGCACCGTTTCCGATATTGTCACGGCTGATGGACGCTGTATCCGCCAGTCGGCTTGGTGCAGAGAGCGTGATGGCATCCACCGGTCTCCATATCAATGGCCGCGGACAGTTTGACCAAACCGGAACCACTGGCGTCTATGGCAGGACACCTTGACCCGGGCACTTCTGCAGTCGGATGACCCCTCTCATCCGCTCCGCCAACCGTTGGGCCCTTGGTTTGCCCCTATCGACGACTGGAACTGGCTGGTCTCCCCAACGCATGGCGTCTTTCATCGTCATGGACACGCTTGGAGACACTACGGTCACCAATCAGGTTCCTACTCCTCTAGCCGGAGGTTCCACATGAGGCCGGCATCTCACAGGACGGCTGGGATTAAAAGACCAATGGCATCCCTTGACGTCGCTGACGCCCTCTCGCCGTCGGGTCCCTTTTGGACCAAGCCACTCCCAGATGATGTATGCCGGGTGACAACTCAGCCACTGCATGGGTTAGAGGAGTTTGTGATTTCGGGGGTGGACCAGGAGCATAAGTCTCTGCGACCAGTCCCCCAACCGTCACTATTCACTGCATGGGAAGCAGCATCAGCAGCAGTTGACGAGTACTTTGGATGGACCCCTGAGGAACTTGAGATTGTCGGTGATGAAGGACGGCTGGTGGAGGCCTTACTCTCTGGTCATCTTTGCGT